GCCTAGTATTTTTACAGTTAAAATAAATGTTTATCAAATAAAGTCTAATGTATCAACTAGTCCTGAATCCCTTTAAACATCTTTATGCTCTGAATGAAACTAAAGAGCTGCTGCTGTCTTTGTTTTTGTCACTTTACTTCAGAGACTCACCTTTTATTTTGAAGCAGCGTCTAAACGAGGCCCTAAAGAGAAAAATTAATGAGTTTTTTTGTAGCTTCATGTTTTTAATCACAACATAAACGATCACCCGGTACAAGGGCGGAGCCGAACGTTTCTGACGGTACCTGAGACGAGTCGATGACCAGCCAGCGCTCCGTGCTCGTCTGGACGTCCTGACCGCTCAGAGGCTCCCGCAGCCGGACCTTCACCTCCACACGGCCTCCTGTGTGCCGGCGGCCGTCCATCACCTGGAGGAGCAACACCAAACAGGTGACGTGTGTTCAGTGCAGATTAGGACAAACTCATCCAGATTAGAGGCTGTACAGTTTCTTCAGTTCTTAGTGTTTTTTGTCTCTCTGAACTAAAGCCCCCTCACCTCCACRATCTCCCTGATTTCACTCTGAGACTCCAGTTTGTCCAGCTTCACGAGCGCCGACCCGATCGGCTTGTCGCTCCGCAGGAAACCCCTGAGAGACGAAACGAAAACACCAGAACAGATGTTTCTTTCTTCATCTGAGCTTTTTAATCCATTCTCTGTAGCTGTGTTTCCATCGCAAATGTGCGCAAAACTTTGTCGATATTCTTTTAATGTCGAAAAACACAATTTCGCAATTGTGAATACGCTTTTTCTCGCAATAAGTCATTACAAACATTGTGGCAATGGATGTAAACATGCATATTGCTACCATGGCACTAGTGCTCATCATCAGAGGAGACRTCGGCGTCTTATCGAGGCTTTCGAATGACAATCCCCTCATACTTGGGAGCAGCAACATATGCTGCGTTTTTGGGAAATTGTAGTCGGTGAGTTTACTACTTTCTTTTACAACTTTGTTGATTTCACTACTTCTACTTCCTGTTGTCTTCTTTGTTGTCGTGTTTTTCGCCTGTAGAAACAGCCGRTTGTTGATCACGTGACTCCCGTGATGCAATAAAAGTGTTTCCATTGCAGTTTTGCGAAACATACTAATTTCGATACGGCCGAAAAACCACCTCTTCCTAGCGCAAAAACATTTTGTCGAAAAAAGGAAGTTTTTTTCGAAACTGACGTGTTTCCATTGAGCAAAATTATTTTGGAAATTCTAATTTGCGCATTTTCATGGTCAATGGAAACAGGTTGGAGTTATTGGGCCTCATGCAAGAACCGTTCGTACGCACAGATTTGTTCTTAAGTTGTGCGTACGAGTGATTTAGGAGAATTTGTGGCATTCACCAATGTTTTCGTATTCTAAGATTTTTTTCAGATACGAACAAAATTCACGAGTGGTCCAGACCTGTCGTATATTTTACCAGCAGTCAGTCTGCTGTTATCCAGACGGGTTTTCTTCATTAATAACTTTATATTTCGTTAGTTTGAAGATATTTTGAGTTGAAAATAAATCACACTCCATAATTATGTTGACAATAGGCTATTCTGCTTGAATTAGAGTTATAATTTTAAATGTAATAATTTAGACTAACAATATAAATTGTACGGTGTGCAGCGCTGCGGCTTCTGAATAAATGAAAATGATTTAACACAGTTGTTTATACTTTTAGCAGCTCTTTTTATTCCACAGCTGACCTGCTAAAAATGACAGATTTTCTTTTCTGGATCTCTGACAGACGGACTTCAATCTCTGAACTCAAAGTTTTTCTTTTTAGTTTTCGCTGTCATTTTTCATGAATGGACACTTCCTGATATCTGAGGCAGGAAACATAGCCTTATATGGTGTTTTTGGGGTGGTAATTATGCTAATCTCCTCTCGCGTGCACGAGCAGCTGGATATGAACAGGTGGAATTTACGCAGCTCATTTACACACTTTTCCTGAAGATAGAAGAGTTTGTTGAATCTGACGTGACATGTTCGTACGAACCCTTTGTACGAACAAAAGTAAGAGAAATTTAGGATAAGAATACAAACATGTTCTTGCATGAGGCCCATTCTTCTAATAATCTGCAGCACAGCTGGGCTTAAACAGGTTGTGATCCGATCCGGAGACTCACCCTTTGTGCAGCAGCTCCAGTTTCAGGCCTTTAGACGCCACGAGTCTCCGGAAGCCTCGGTGGTTCCGGTTGATGGACAGTGTGAAGCTCTGGTTGTATTCTGGTAAGAACATAAGAATGTTCTGTAAAGTTAAATTTAACCTAAAATACTTCTAAAATTAAATAAATCCAGATTAGAGGTTAGAAAATATGTTTTACCTGGTGAGTTAGTGTTTTTTATGACATTTGTTTTGTGTTTCTGCGGCTGCTCCTGGTTAAAAAAAATTAAAAAAAAATTTTAGAAACATTTGCTCTAAAAGGATTTATTATTGAAGTAAAAAGGAGGTGAAGTTTGAGGCACTGACGGCGCTGGGAAACGGGAAGTCAAACTTCACGTAAGCRTCCAAATCATTGGGTTGAATCCCTGAAGGAGGAAAAATAAAAACTAAACACGTTTTTTTTCACTGAACGTTGGATTTAAAGAGAAAAGAAGAGTTTAGAGTCATATTTTACCGTTGGGAGCAGGAAGGTTCAGCCCTTTGACGATGATGATCTGCAGGTCGCTGCTGCTCAGCTCTGGAAATATTCTAGAAACATAAGATTTACTAATCAAAAGCTGAAGGATCATTTCTAACACTCGGAGCGATAAATTTAAAAAAAACAGAGTTTTAAATGTGAAGGCGGAGCTCCCACCTCACAGTCCGAAATGATTTCTCCTCAAAGTGATGTTTGGGAGGAGGCAGGCCTCTGGACTGAGACAACTTCAGCACCTGCAGACTCTTCTCACAGCTTCGTGCCATCTTCTCAAACCTGAAACCGTCACTCCAGATTTCAAACAAACGAGTTGCTGAAACAAAAAAAAAAAAAGTACGAACTCTTTAAAAAAAAAAAAGAGCTTACTTTGTCGTTTCGCTGACGTTGCCGAGGTGTGTGAACTGCTTGGAGTGAGTCAAACATTTCTGCAAAGAAAGAATCGTTCRGTTCTCATCGTTCCACAGATCTTTATTCATCTTATTTCCTGTCACTGCACCTGCTGCTGCTCCTGCAGGATGTTGGCCAGCTGAGTGTAAACCTGCTCCGCTTTGCTGGAAATCTGCACGTCGCTGTGATGAACCAGGATGAAGTCCTCGTCTTCGTCACCGGGGGGCGACGGCAGCTTCCAGACACAGAACAACAGAGAGGATTAGGACCTGCGACGGGCAGTGTTCCGGGTCCGACGGAGTCCGTCTCACCKCGCTGAGGTCCACTGGTTTGCCGCCGCGAGCCGCTTCGATCAGGGGGTCCAGGGTCTTGGCGGTGCGGAGGAACAGCTTGGCCTGCTCCACGTCCTGCTTCTGTTTGGCCTGCAGAGCCGCCTTCAGGTACTGCTTCCTGCGGCCCTCCAGGAGCTCCAGCTGCTGGGCCGCTGCAGGACGATTTTAAACCGTTTGAAAGCTGGGAGGACTTCCTGCCGCTTCACAGGTTTAGTTGAACCCACCTGTCGGGGAAAGCCCCTCCCCCTCAGTGGATCCCTCGGGCGATGCCGGCTGAGATTCTTCTGGATCGGCTGTTGGGACGTCCAGCGTGGGTTTTTTYTGCTTTTCTGGAACGAGCTTCGGCTGCAAAAAGACAGAAAACATCACCGATGTGTTGGAACGGATCAACGTTACTCATCGCATCGACGCAGAGACTCCACCTCTTCCTCTTCCTCTTCTGATGCAGCGTCACCAGGGGCAGCGAGCTGATTGGCCGCTTCGAGAGCAGTGACAAAACCCTGCTCTGCCGCCGGCGCCTTCTGGCCCGGGATCGGAGGAAATCCTGAAACGCCAGAGGCAGATCTGTTACCAAGGAGTCGAGATTAAAAACTTCATTTAAAACTTGAGTCTGGACCCACCSGGGGGAACCGGCAGCTCGTCGAAGTTGACGGCTCGTCCTGCTTTGTGGGCTCGGATGGCGCTCTGATATTGCTGCAGAAGAACAGCCGAGGCTCAGAGGTAAATTTAAAGAGGATCTGTTGGTTTTTATTTACGACACGAAAAATAAAGTTTTTTTTTAGTTTTGTACCTTAGCGATGCGGTCGTGCATTCGGGCCTTCCGGTCGTCTCCGCCAGCTTTGGCCTGATTGGACGCCTCGGCGTATTTCKCTCGTCTCTGTTCCAGAGCCTCCAGAACGTCCTTGGGAGCCGAGGGAGCGGCAGGAGCTGAAAGGGTACATTTTTTACATGCAGTTTGATGTCGTCACGCAAGAAAACCTTCAGTTTTACCACGAGAACATGTACTAATTACTACCAAACAGACTCAACATTTTATTAAATAAAACTTAAAAGTCTCAATAAATGAGTTCAATCAGAATTTAGTGTTTTAAAATGTCAAAGTTGTGTCAGAAATAACCTTTGTTTTCAATAACATGATTCTGTAAGAGAAGATTCCTGCAAATTAAAACAAAATGAATAAAGAAAATAGAAACAATAAAAGCTCAAACTTCTTCACCTGCAGCAGGTTGTTTCTGTCCAGAACTTCCTGCTGCACCTTCAACACAAAAACAGATTAAAGAGTTCAGTTTTTAGTTTGTTAAACAAATTCATCTCTTATCTGAAAGTATTCAGTCTGTGTCGTACGCTCAGAGCGACGTCACAATATTTCCCTCTAAATGATCCAGTTTCATTTTCAGTTTCTGAACTTTTGTTTTCATCAGTTTGTTGAAATTTATTAAAAAGCTGAAAGAGTTGAATCAAACTGATGAAAACAAGAGATAAAATTAGACAAACAAACRCATAAAAGCTTTAAATAGCCAAACAACGGCTAGGAGCTAAAACCTAGCCTAGCTAAACATTAGCGCCAGAAAAACTGTCACTAAATGCTAAAACTAGCTAGAATAGCTGCTAATAGCTAAAACTACGAATACAATGACTAAAAACTAAAAATAGCACAAAGGTAGCTACAGCCAGCAAATTGGTTACTAAAAGCTGAACAAAATAAGTGTCTAAAAGYTACAACAGGCATAACTAGTAGCTTGAAGCTAAAAATAGCAAGCGTAGCTTGATGCTAAGCAGGCTAAAGGATAAAACCAACAAAAACATCTGGTAATAGCTAAAACTATGAATACAGTAACTCCAAGATAAAAAAAAAAGGTAGCTAAAACTAGCAACATGTTTGCTAAAAGCTAAAATAACAATATGTGTCTAAAAGCTACAGCTAGCAAAAAATAGTAGCTTAAAACTAAAACCAGCAAGAGGATCTTAATGTTGATCAAGCTAAAGGATAAAACCAGCAATAAACACATGGTAATASCTAAAACTATGAATACAATAACTAAAAAATAAAATCAACAAATGAGAAGCTAAAAGGTAAAACTAGCACAAAAGTAAAACATATGCTAAAACCTCAACTAACAAAAAAAGTATCTAAAAAGCTACAACTAGCTAAAAATAGTAGCCTAAAGCTAAAACCAGCAAAAGTAGCTTAACATTAATCAAGTTAAGGATAACATAAACATCTGGTAAAAGCTAAAACTATGAAAACAATGAATTTGAAAATCAGCAAATAAGTAGCTAAAAGCTAAAACTGGCTAAATGRGCTTGAAGCTAAAACCAGTAAAAAAGTAACAAAAAGCTAAATCCAGCAAGAGTAGCTTGACGTTAAAAAAGCTAAAGGCTAAAAATAACAAATCATATTTACTAAAAATGAAAATTAGCTAAAGCGCGGCTAAAAGTTAGAACGTAAGCAGAGCAAAAGTTTCAGTTATTCATTTATTTGTTTCAATTGGGATAARAACCTAAATAAAGTGATTTAGTTTAGTATAAAACCTGTGAAGTCCTGATRAAGTGATTAATCTGGATCAACAAAAACAAACTTTAAACAGGAAARCAACAGAGATAATCCTGACCTTGTCCAACAAGAAGCACCTTTAATATAAATAAATACTTTTTTAAATCCAAACAGAAACTATAATCTGATTCCAGAAGTCCTGACCTTCTTCTGGAGACGGAGGAAGACCTGCGAGGTCGACCGGTTCTCCTTTCTCCAACGCTTCGATCGCCGCGTCGAACTTCTGCACGAAAACAAAGACAGGTATTTTTTTTTTTGTTTGTTTTGCTTTAATGAGACGTGACGAAAAACTTTATCATCGAACATTCCTGCGAGGCAGTTTGACCCGTTTGGTGTTCAGCTCACCTTACTGGTCAGAAAGTGAACCTTGGCTCGCTCCAGCTCTCCCAGTTTCTTGGCTCTCAGAGCAGCCATCTTGTATTCTTTCTGCCGCTCTAACAGCATCGTCTTCGTCGCCTCCTTCGCTGCAGAGTGAAACGCTCGTCAGTGAAACGCCTCGTTCACCGTCACGCGCCTCTAATACCGGCTGACGAGTTGCTCTGGGACTTACTGTCGGTCCGGTCCGAGACGCCAGCGGTTCCTTCGGGTTCCTCCTCAGGAGACGGGAGGCTGCTCAGAGCGGGAGGAGCTGAGGAGGAAGACTGCTCCTCCTCTTCGCCGCTCGGTGCAACGACGGCGCCCGACTCCTCCTGCTGGGTGGACGTCCCGACGGGAACGGCGGGTTGGGGGTCGACGCTCGGGGCTCCGGTAGCGACGGGCGGGGGGATCTCCGACTCGTTTACAGGTTTCCCCTTTTTCAGAGCGGCTAACATCGACTCCAGAGTCTGTCGGGAAGAAGAGAAACGACCCGCGGCGTTAACGCCGACACAAAAAAAATAACATTTTTATCCAAATCGTCTCGCCGACCTTCAGACCGCGGTCGTATCTCCTGGATTTGGACGTCTCCCCTGTGGTTTTGGCGTTCTTCAGAGCCGTTCTGTACATGGTGACTCGCTCCTCCAGTGTGTGCTGGAGGCTGCCGGGTTCTGCTGCTGCCGCTGAGCTCTTCACTTCCTGCTGCTGCAAACAGGTTCAGTAAACAAACAAACTGTATGCAAACTCTGTCACACACCTTTACAAGTCTGCACAGGGTTCCTACAGCTTAAACTTAAATTTAAGACTTTTTAATACCATCTGAACTTAAATTTAAGACCAATTTCGTAATAAAAACAAATGACAAAAAAATAAAACAGTGGCAGAAACTCATGAATGAAAGTATTTTTGGTTGAAATATTCAAATATTACTAATAGACCAGTTGTTTTTATCCATATCTGACTGCTTTTCATCAAACATAGTAAAAACATTCTTAGCAGTCGGTTTAACGACCCCAAAATTCAGAGTTTTAGGACCCACAGTGGGGTCTTCACCCCAGTTTGCTGTAGATAAAAAATTAAAGTACCTGTGACGTCAAAATTTTTAAGAAAAGTGAATGCGTTTWTGAAAAGACAACATTATTAACATGTTGCAAAACAAATTTCACATTGCTCAGATGGACATTTGTTGAGATATTTGCATGTAAGTAACAGGAAGTGATGTCAAAGGGGAATGTCTGCATGTGAATATTTAAAAAAATAAATGTTAACAATTATTTTAATATTTGAGATGCATTAAAATTATCCTATTTACAATGTGTTCACATTTTTAAGATTTCTGAATAATTGATTTAAGATATTTTAAGGCTAATTAAGGCCTTATTTTTGGATCGATGAATTCAATGACTTTTAAGACTTTTTAAGGATATGCAGGAACACTGCTGAAGAACAGATACAACATTTACGCTCATTTTTTAACCATTAATAAATAATAAAACCTTCAGAGAATTTCAAAATAAAAGCGTATCCGGAAATAACCTGAAAGGAATGCAGACCAAAAAAAAAAACAACAAACAAACCAGGAACAGAGAAATGAAACTGGTTTTCTGCTCTGTTTCGGAGCTGGCAGTACCTGCGCCGCCAGGGCCTCGGCTGTTTCTGCCTGAGAAGACTCTGCGGTGGCAGGTAACGTGGGGGGAGCCGACTCCTCGCCCTCAGCTTCCTCCTCGCCCACCACTTCCTGGAGCTCGGCCTGACGGGACCAACAAACACGTCAACAACAGCTCTGACTGTCTGAACACAGCAAAACAAGTTTTCCATTCATTCTTCAGGAGGTTGAACAGCTGGCATCGTAACTGAAAACAGCATCAAATACACGACTCAGCACAAACCAAGAGGTCTTCATCATCTTCAACGTCTTCGTCGTCATCCTCATCCACGTTTCTCATGCACTCGTCAGCCATTTTTGCGATGTCTTCCATGGGCAGAGGGCCTACGACACAAACAGGACCAAACAGGAAGTCACGTYTGCGAGGGTCAAACAGCTAAAGTCTGATGATTCAGCTGTTAGCTGCTACTTTTAGCTCCTACCCAACATTTTAAGGGCTTAGATTTTAAATAGCTGTTTGCTATGTTTAGCCATTCTTTTCCAGTTTTTTTTAGCAAAGCTTTTGCAACTTTTAGCCTTTAACTAGCATTTTGCTACTTTCAGGTTTTAGTTAGCCCTTTTGCTGCTTTTAGCTTTTAACCAGAATTTTGCTACATTTATTTAGTTTTTAGCTGAGCTTCTGCTATGATTAATTTTTAGCTCGTGTTTTGTCATTTTGAGCTTCCAGCTACCACTTTCATGCTCAGCTAGCATTTTGACACCAATGACTTTTAGTTATGGAAAAGTCAGACAGTCAGTCAGTCAAGTTGCTCCTTTCAGATTTTAGCTAGCATTTAGCTTATTTTGGCTTTTAGCTAGCATTTAGCTTCTTTTGGGTTTGTTTTGCTTCTTCTGGCTTTTAACTCACCTTTAGCTTCTTTTGGCTTTTCTTTTGCTTTTTCTGGCTTTTAGATCACCTTTAGCTTCTTTTGACTTTTGTTTAGCTTCTTCTGGGTTTTAGCTCACCTTTAGCTTCTTTTGACTTTTCTTTTGCTTTTTCTGGCTTTTAGCTCACATTTAGCTTCTTTTGACTTTTCTTTTGCTTTTTCTGGCTTTTAGCTCACATTTAGCTTCTTTTGGCTTTTAGCTCACATTTAGCTTATTTTGGCTTTTAGCTCACATTTAGCTTCTTTTGGCTTTTCTTTTGCTTTTTCTGGCTTTTAGCTCACATTTAGCTTCTTTTGGCTTTTAGCTAGCATTTAGCTTCTTTTGGCTTTTAGCTCACATTTAGCTTCTTTTGGCTTTTAGCTCACATTTAGCTTCTTTTGGCTTTTAGCTAGCATTTAGCTCACATTTAGTTTCTTTTGACTTTTCTTTTACTTTTTCTGGCTTTTAGCTCACATTTAGCTTCTTTTGGCTTTTAGCTAGCATTTAGCTTCTTTTGACTTTTCTTTTGCTTTTTCTGGCTTTTAGCTCACATTTAGCTTCTTTTGGCTTTTGTTTTGCTTTTTCTGGCTTTTAGCTCACCTTTAGCTTCTTTTGGCCTTCAGCTAGTGTTTTGCTTCTTTTAGCTTTAACAACTAAGTTTAGCTTTTAAAAGAAATTAGGCAACGTCATTTATCTGCCTGAATTCAAACTGCATATTTGCAGAAAATGTGATTTCTCTGGTTTATTTTAGCTAAAGATAAAAGTAAGCAAATCAGCTAAAGACAACAGAACTGAACAGAATCATCCGTCAGTAAAATAACCTGCATCACAGACTCCCCATTAAAATCCTACAAAATAAAACTTTTAATTAAAACAGACTCCATGGGTTTAAAAGCACCATCTATAGTTGCTCATAATGTGGGGCAGGTTTGTTGCGATGGGCTCTAATATTTCTGAGTCTCCATGTTCCCGGAAGTAGAAACATTAAACTCACCTTTGCCTTTCTGTTTGCCTTTTCCTTTCACGGGTTTACTTCCGGTGATGGCAGCGAGTTCTGCCTCCAGGTCCGAGTCGTTCTCCCCCACTCCCATCATCATYTCCTCGGGGTTCATCATGTCAACAAACAGACCCATCTAAAGACAGGATTTAGGGTTAAAACCAGCCGATCCGATGATAAAAACATGTTCCTCATCATTTTGTTACCTGCTTGGCCGCAGCGGCGCCCTGGCCTTTAGGCGCCGTCGGTGCTTTCTTATTTTTACCAAACATATTTTTTATTTTTTAAAGAAACTCTAAGYGACAACCCGCTTATCTGTCAGGACACCTAAAATCAGAAACAGATGATGAAAACGTGCTTCCTGTTGTCTGCTAGTTGTTCAATCATGTGAGTTGTCAGGTGGGTCCTRCTGTCGCAGCTTGACAACAAGCTGGAAAAACTGACGCGAAGAATCGGTTAGCCGACCATGTTTCTGTCTTTAGCTCCAAAAGTTAAACAACCAGGAAGAAGCTGGTCGTTACGTTTCCATTAGCATAAAGTTTAAATATTAAAATAAGAAAGGATGTGATGTTTACCGGCTCAGTCACCGCTTCATGAGGTAGTTTTCAGAGTTTCGTTTCTGACATTGCTAGTTTAACTGCGCATGCGCACAATATCAATGTGGTAATGTGWCTCCCTGAGTAATGTCTGCCAGGCAAAAACTAAAACCCTGAGTCTTACCTGCTAGGAAAACAGGACTTCCGGTCCGCACTAACATATTTAGTTCCTTAACTCAGGGGTTCTCAAACCTTTTGGGTCTGGGGACCCCTTACAATGACGAAAAAAATTCCTGGGACCCCCTCATAAACATAAAACCCATGCTGTTTTAAAATATAATTTGTTGTCATTTCAACCCCTAAATTCCATGGGAATATGTGACCCATCATATCGACATGAGGATTAAATCAAATTTGGTCAAAATGACCTACTTACATTTTCAGATTCCTGCTTTAAACGCTAAATTTTGATACCTGGATCATCCTGATATCATCAGCTTATCCAGAGATATGACTTAATTAGTCTTGATGGTTATGATGTTTGGTCTGAATCCTAATTTTATGTTAATTTAT